GATAAGGCCCTTATAAGGGCACCTTCCTCGGGGAAACCGCTATGCAGCGCCTGCCCAGGGTCGCGGAATTCTATCCTGCCAGGAGTATTGATCCTAGTCGCCTTGGGGGATTTATCGTGCCAACTGCCTTTAAGGTGAATGCGGTGGTGCTCTTGTGACAAGTGGTGCTTTATACCATGCGCGTGGAATGGATCGGTCTGACCAAGATGGCCTTGATGCGGTCTTCTTCAGTACTACCCCATCCAGTTCTGGTGGTTTAAAACTGCAATAATCTGGTACCAAAGTTAGAATGCCAGCTATAAGCACTCTTCGTAAGGCGTTGATATTCATCAGCTGTCTTGCTCAAAATGTTGTGGCAACCCAATTCTGAGGTTGTGTCCGAAACGCAGGCGCAGTTCGGCTTGGTGGGGGCACTGAGTGGTTCACAGCGAAGCCTTCACAGAGCACCTTGTTTAGACGTTCACATCTTTGCAACCAATGTTCACTTCTGCTATTCAAAAGAGTTCACAGGCCTCAACAAAATGAGATCTGTCAGTCAACATAAAATGAGCACGCAAATCGGCCCTCCCAGACCGAACCCGAAATGCATGCTAAACGACGGTCCACATAGATACACTGACCCTTTATAGTTAAGGAAAAGATTACCTCCAGCTCTTTCTTTCCTTCTTCGCTGGCATGAGTAGTTAATATGGAAACGTAAAGTAGGAATAATAGAAGCATGAAGAACGACTGGCAATTGAAGGAGGATTAAGCTGGACTGATAGCTACGGATCAATGACATCACGTTTCCATACACAAAACCTGTTCAAATCGCCGCTTTGTTGAAGGACGCCCGGCTATCATGCGAAGAAACAAGCAATGGCAAACACGGGTGGTCACCAACGTGGTGGTCAGCGCTGAAATTGATGGTCTACCACACTCGGGGTTACATTTGACGGCGTGTTCGGCTCGAGAAGGGCATTTTGCGCTTCAGCGGGCACCTTTTCCTGGGTCATTGACTAAAAGTTTTAAGTAAGGTCAGACCTGTAAACTTTTGTGAAGCTACGTAGTTGTTCAAGAAAGCCATTTTGGTCACAAAAATTCACAGCTTTTCTCAGGAGGCGTGAATGAAGCCCAAGATTGCCTGCGTATTCTACCAATAGTCGCCGTTTCAGGCAGACAACTACCAGTGCTAGGGAACGGCTGGACTCATTTCACGCCCCACCGGACTGCGGCGATATTAATTGTAAGCATAAATGATCATTAATTTTTATTTCTACATGCTCATTATCTTTGATACAAGCATTGTTCCGAGGACGTTCTCTACAGAGCGATTCTGGTACCACCTCCTAGCCTGAAAACTCAAAAATCCAGGCGAACAAACTGCCTTAAGTTTCTCGGTATTAGCTTTAATTTTAGTGTGCTAAAAATCAATGATGTTTTACTTTATTGAGTACTATTAACACAAACAACAGAATGTCACATAAAAAAATGTATTTTTAAACATTCATCATCATGCTAATTGAGAACATACATTTCTTACTTGAAATTCAATTAGTTTCCCCTTGATGAACCTTATTATTTGCTTACATTACAAACAACACCAATATCCTGCACAGGGCACGTCAATGGGGATCCCAATGGGGTCGTATTGGTCGCCGAAATGGAGGGGAGGGACCGCCACTTGCAATGGAAAATTTTTCTCTTCTGACTGTAATTCTTTTCCGTTTCACACCGCCACTATATTGAGCCCAGAGCATGCCATCGTGTGTGCGTGGAAAACTCGAGTGGGCGCATCGTTGTTGGGCAATCCGTCGCTGTGATGATTAGGGTCGTTATTTGGCCGCCAGGAGAGGGTAGGGGAGCGTCGTATCTTGGCTGGGAAAAATTTGTTTTGATAGTTGATTTTCTCCTCGATTTGGATGCTTTTCTGCATTGCTGGTCGGGAGGGGGGGAGGGGTTCGTGATTTACCTTTTGGCTGTGTAGGGTGGTGTTTGAGAATGGTGATTGTCTTTTATGGTGATTTTTCCTGTTTCATGCGCTACTATATGCTCCCACCCCATCCCGCTGTAGTCATCTCTGACGAGAGGAGCGGACAGAGGCCGGAGAAGGGAGGGCTTTACTATAATTAGGCAAAGGGGGGGCGGACTGGGCCATAGAGCAGGGGCTCATTAAAGGTGGGCAAGAGTAAGCATGCGACTAGATATCATTTCGTGTTTGTGGGAGAGCGTCGTGCCGGAACCCTCCCTTGTTTGAATTGTCGTGTGCTCTATCTGATGTAGTGGTATATACTTCGCGAAGGCGTACCCTTCTACGGATCCCCTCCTCACTTCGTTGGAGGTGCCGCAAAACTGTTAATTTAGACTGGAGGAATTCCCGCAACCCGATAGCTGGGTGACTAATTGAGCTAGCCATAAGAGCATTTTCGCAAATCGTCGCTGACTTGTATAGTGTGATTCGTGTCGATTTTGATATGTGATAGGTCGCCTTGGCACCGCTCCAATCTACGCCTTGACACACGTTCTGTCGTTTCCAGGTATCATGACTATATCTACCACGCCCCCTCCCCCTTTCGTGTGCTGTATCCACAAAATTTCTAGGGAAAATTCGTAAGTATAGATCGGTAGCCCGTGGAGAGGTGATAGTGCCGTAATCAAATATCTCTAAGGCGTCAATTTAGTTCCCAGCTGGTTTATGATGTGGACGTGCCCCAAAACTGCGTCAGTACCGTATTGCTTGGTTAATTAAAGTGAAGGAATCCTGTTGCTTCTCTGACGTTTTTGTAAGGCGAAGGGTTATCTGTACATACATAACTTATAGGCAAACGTGCAGTGGGTCTGCACCACTGACAGTCCAATTCCTGTAGGGACCACAACAATGCGTTGACGCTCCACTTGAGGCGACCGTGTGTAGACGGTAGTGAACCATTGAACGTAACAAGGTGGTGCCATTTTAGCGTCCAGCAGCTCTCGCACAGCTGTATATGAAGCCGCGATACCGCCAATCAGGCCAAATACTGCAAAAATCGAGCTCATTGTAAATTCATTTTGAGGTTATTGCTTTGCCCACCGAAAGAGACGGCATTGAAGAGCAGTACAGGTTTGGATGTGTATCGCCATATGCTGGAAAAAAGTTTTTTAGAAGTTCACTTTTTTTTACTTCTTAATTAGAGTTCAGACTTCGCGATGACGCGCGTGCGTTGACGCATTCATTCGCAGGTACCGGTCGTCATTCTTCTTGATTATTTCTTTAAGAAGCTTTAATCCTATAATTCAAAGGAGATCTTACTCTACTAGTCCAGCGAGTTGGTCATCAGGCGAATCAGGTGAGATTTGCATCGTGTTGATGAGATCCTTGCGTTTCTTATGAGATGCAAAGAGGAACAGGTAGAAGACGCTGGGCAGCAGCATAGTCATCAAGGTGATCGTTGAGCCACCAACCTGCAAGATTATATTGACTTCATGGCTTAAAAAAACGGTTAAACTTATAGAAGCCTGTTGTTTGAGGCTCAAACACAAAGACGCAGTTTCACGCGTGGTCGTATGGCGCGGAACAATGAGCCAAGAAAAGTCAACATCATTGGTGTGTCAGCCAGCCATTTTTGGCGCGTCCTCTCTCAATACAAGGAGCACCGCTGCCAATCGGGGGGCCGTCGCCATGCAGTGATGATTAACTCTCTCCGCCCAAACGAACACTGTGGACTGGGCCTTCAACCCTATGAAACTCGCCAGATCCAAGAACACTCCAAAATGAGGTATTGACTCGGCGGTGAAGATGATCCCGAGGAGGAGCAGCGAGCGCATAGCAAACCGATGCGCACTGAAGTCTGTAATGAAAGCGTCCTTCGGCTTTCAATTACATGAGATTCCCCCGTAATGCCTCCAAGAAACTTCACGCCCGTTGTCGGCGCACCCCAGTCCACTCTTCAACTTGCTGAGCCAATGGGGAGAAAACTATCACCACCGTCGGCAGCACATGAACCGTGATCATCACATTCACTAACTGTGAGCCACCAATCTGGTCGAATATGCGCCGCGGCTCAGTCTAGTTGCGTTTGGCGATACGTGAACGCTTACAAAAATCTGAAACGAAAAAATCGCTGAACGCTTGTCCTTGACATCTTACACATTTGAGTCTACGCGTAGACTAAGGAGGAATATTTGCCACCGATGAGATCTGATTCCTTTCGAAACTGACCTGGGGCAAGGGAGTAGGTTGAAGAAGAGGAAGGAAACCATGTTGGACTTGCTCGGTTTTCCGAGAAAAAATTAGAGTTATACTCGCGGAAAACCAAGGGGCAGTGCGAACACCTTTTGGGACGCGATGCGTAGGTGGAATGGAGGATGATGAGAAGCGGTGGTCGGTGCCCAGATGGAGAACTTTTTGAAGGAATTTTCTAGCGGCCTGAATGTGCGCCTTGACGCTACACTTCGAAGTCTGCGGTGGACACTAAGGGAATCTTTGCCCACCATGAGTCTGATTCTTTCGAACTGACTTATCGCGCCTTCTATGCTGTGGAATAAACCTCACTCAGTTAGAAGTGTAACTGACCTGGAGAGAAGGGATAACAGTATTCCTCATGCTGTCACCGTATACAGCGTAGCCTGTCGATGACACAATAATGTACACGATAAGGATGACTGAAAGGTTGTCGTATAAAATAACCATGGAGCATGGATGGCTATGCAGTTTGGCGTATTTCAGCTCAGGGGAGAGGCAGTTTGCATTCTCTTCTGGGCGCAGTTTGTCGAACGGAGGAGCATTGTGCTTTCGGTTACGTGACAACTAAAACTTTTGGTGGGGGTCCTGCCACGATAGGCCAGAGCGCAGAGCAACAAGGGACTGCCACTGCCAAGGCATCGTGAGGTACAAAAAACACGATGCGAGCCAGGAGATGAGTTTTTCGAGGGAAAGGGATATCAGGGTGGATGAGCCACTTAGTATGCGTGAAAAGTTGGAATGTGAAAGGTCAAAGTGGCTATAAATCGCAATCGCAGCAAGAGGAGCCGCCAGAGAAAAGCAAGAAGTTGGCCGCCATTAAAGGGTATCCGAGTTTTAGCTGTTCTGTAGACCCCCCTTCGTCGACAGACACCCCTTTCTCACTTCAAGATCATCGTGTCAAACCATCAAGTAATGTCTTGTAAGTCCTTAAAGCCTGATATAGTCGCACGAGGTTTGTAAAGACTTTCAATTTTTGTAAAGCAATGAATACTTCGATGGAAATAACGAAAGTTCGAAATTTCCCCTTCTCCCTTCCCAAGCTGTACTGCGCCGAACTTCTTTAAGACAAAAATCCGTTTAGGAGTTCTTACAAATATAACTGGCCCAGACGGCTCGATTGAAACGGAATGGCTTCGTCATATCGTGCTGAATCGTCGGAAAAGCGCCGTGTCCCCCTGAATGAGCAGTTTTTGTCGTCAACATTTAAAACTTGCTTTTTGTGAGCTCACCATAGGCAAAGGCTATTGTCCCATAAGCGAGGAAGAGATTGTGGAACGAAAACTCCGGATAACTGACGACCTGAAATGGTAGTGATTTATGTGCAGTCCATATCGGGAGACAAAAGAGGCGTTTCCAAGCACGCAGTTGCGAGCCTGTCGACTGCTGCGTTTTTGCATGCCTCTTTTTACTCTCCTATTCAGATATATCATCGAATTCCCCATCTGCACCCTTGCAATCGTCGACACTCTCAATCGTATAATCCAAATACCTGAGATGCGGTAGGCGTGGCAGCGTATTGCTGGTGCAGCCACGCCCACCGCCCCCCCCGTGATGTAGAGTGTACTTTGAAAAGCCACTTTTTGTCCTCAGATATGGGACAAACAGAAGAAAAATCAGAAGCCACTACCTGCTGACAGACTGGGGCATCATGGATGGACCCGGCGACGATCAATATTGCTGCCACGGTACTTGACGCGGCAGCACCGACAGCACCCTGCCTGGAATGGAATCTTGTAGAACGAGGGGAGGGGGCAATGAAACCAAAGACGCTTACCAAAAGTCCATTGGACTTTTCAGCATCACAAAAGGCCACAGTACAGCTCCTATCAGAAGAATAACATAGCAGAAGTTGACCGCGAAGCCGACCGCTGCCAATAAATTCGAGAAATTGTTTGCAGCCAGAAGCATTAGCACTGTGCAAATGCCGAATTGGGTCACACACAAGCAGAACGCCACTATCCGCCTTAATCATCTGGTGTAAGAAAGTGGGTATTTTGGCAAGATGTCAAAAAATGAGAAAACATCCGCAAAAAGTATCAGTAAATGCTCCAGATAAATGGGCGGAGTCGTCGGGGGTGGAGCCAAGTGTAGCAGTGAACGAAAGTTTATATGTTTGATATGGTGGAAATGTGAAAAACTAGTGCAGCTAGTATTTATAGGCTATAATGTGCGCAAACAATGTTCCCGGTGAAAAGGGGCGTGGCGCTCTGGGGCGGGGCTCCCATAAGGTGTATATTGTGCAGGAGTCATACTGGATAACATCGCCATCACTCAGGGCAGCGTCGAGAATGGCGGAATGAGCCTTCCGGCTGCCCTCCTCTACCATGGTAATCGTTTAGTGGTCAATCC